GTCCCAGGATTCAAACAGCCAACTCATGCAAGTAGCCCAGGACCCGGCACCAACACACAGCTGCCTCCCAAACAGATCAAGCCAAATGACTGTCTCACCCCTTCAGGGGGCCTGATCCAGTTGGGGGTTGTTGAAGCCAAGGTTCGATAAAGCACAGGGACAAATAACCAAATGAATTTAATATTTTTTGATTTTTGCAAGTTTAATGTAATATTCTAGCATGACAGAACTAAGACCTAGTGCCTAGTCCTCATTTTTTTTCATTTTTCTTTATTAAGAAATTTTCTACTCACTCCACATACTATCCACAGATCCCCCCTCCTCTCTCCTCCCACCCCCAGCCCTCTTTCCCAAGCCACCCCACAACCCCACATTCCCCGAATCAGGGTCTCCTATGGGGAGTCAGCAAAGCCCAGCACACTGTGCCTAGGCAGGTCCAAGCCCCTTCCCACTGCAACAAGGCTGTGCAAGGTGTCACACCCCAGGCACCGGGTTCCAAAAGCCTGCTCATAGACCAGGGACAGATCCCAATCCACGTGCCTGGGTGCCCCCCAAACAGTTTGAGCCAAACAATCATTTTCCGTATCCAGAGGGCCTAGTCCAGTCCCATGGGGGCTCCATAGCCACCAGTCCACAGTTCATGGGCTTGCACTAGTGTGGCCAGTCGCCTGCAGTATTTCTCCTCTCATCTTGAGTGAGGTATCCCAGACTTAGAAGGACAAACATAGTATGTACTTACTCATAAGTAGATACTAAATGGGAGGGAAGGGATGGCCAGACTGCAACCCACAACTCCAGAGAGGCTAGCTAAGAGGAAAAGACCCTAGGGGAGAGACATGGATGACCCTGCTAAGGAGAAGTGGATGAGATCTACATGAGCTGACTGGATGTGTGGGGGTTGGCAGAGGGCAAGGAGTGGGAGATGAAAACATAGGGAAATGGGAGGGTCAAGCTGGAACAAGGATAGAGTTGGAGGGCAGGGAAGAAGATACCATGATAGATGAGGACATCATGGGAATAGGAAGAGGTAGGGTGCTAGGGAGGCTCTCAGGAATCCACAAGTTTGACCCCACCTTGGTCTGCTGGCAGTGGTCCAGAGGGTGCCTGGACTGGTCTACTCTGGTGACCAGCTTAGCATATAACCTAGCTGTCATCACAGAGCCCTTGTCCAGTGACAGATGGAGGCAGATGCAGAGATCCGTGGCCAGGCACCAAACTGAGATCCGGGAATCCAATTGATGAGAGAGAGGAGAGATGTTTCATTTTAAAAATCAACAAATCCATTGTTTTTTAATGATTTTAGGAAATGTCTAGTTTATTAAAGGCTACTTTGTTCTTGACGGATGAGAATTCGCGTTTATTTCCCATATTTAGAGATGATCTTCTGGCACATGTTATTTTACCTCTATAGTTTCACTTGTGTAAGTGGACATGGTGTGGAAGAGCCTGAATCAACATGCTCTTTGTTTTATCAACGTGCTCTTTGTTTTAGTGTACATACTACATGAAATATCATTTAAAATGTTATGTCATCACTCAGAGATTTTGCCTTTATATTTAAGTTTTGAAGTTATTTTATACATATGAAAAATTTTTACTTGATGTGAAACAAATACAATTCAACTTTTATTTTTATTGTGTTATGGAGTATTGACATCTTTTTTGTCACAGTTGGTAACTGTGTCTACAGATAAATTGGCTTACCTAAAGAGAATCTGTAGTAGTGTGAAACTGTGCATGTTTCTTCAGACATGTAAAGATCTTTAAAAAGTATTCTACTTCAACTATGATGAGGATATTGATAATCTTTTATCATATGTTCTTATGCACTGGTATTTTTTAAAATTGAGATTTTTTTTCCCCTTAGTGTTTTCCTATATATGACATAGTTTTTCATATTAGTTTTAGTCTCAATAAAATTTCATACTTTCTAAGGAAAGCCTGAAGGGTGCATTTTTAGATGTTTTCTCCAGTGTTTTGTCCTTATTGCTGTGTTGGCTGTGCTTGCCTGACTAGATGGCTTTCACTGCCAGACATGCATATAAGCCTGTACTTTACTTCCAAAGTTTAGCAGGACTCAAGTATTTTATTTAGATTCAAAGTTTTCATTGCATTTGGAACAGTTTGCGATATGTGGGACAAGTACATTTGCATAGTTAAAAATATTTAAATGAAATTTCAGCCACAATTCTGTGTTATATATTACCTTCATTTTACTGATCAGGGAACTGAGTTGCAGGGAGGCTATGTGATCTCTAAGAATCACACATCTCTTAAGGTTTAGAATGATGGTTTGAACTTAAATGTTTTTGATATATGCACCTAGAATTGTATGTCCATTATAGTAACACTTCCACAAAAAAGTGACATTGTCATTGTAGAATCATTTAGTCCAGACAGTGAAACACTACTGACACTCTCTAGACTTCATGGTGCTGCACAGAATAGAATGATTAAGTAGCAAGTGTTTAACAAGTACCATATGGAAAAATCATAGACATCTTGCTAAATATTCAAGAAATTGTTGAATACTGATTATGGATGCAAACATATGCAAACTACAATTTGAAATTTCCTATTTTAATGAGCTATAAAATTTAGTAATTTATTATATACAGAGCCTAGTACTCTCCCAAGAATTGTGAAGTGGGTTTATTAGGGATATTTAATATGAATGAGAAAATATCCAGTAAAAGTTATAAATATGTTCAGAATACTGAAATTAAAAACAAAAGTTAAAATCTGTTTAAAAATGTAATTCGTGTTGTATTTTAACAGAATTACTTTTCTATTTTTGTAGTGTCCTGAGACCTCTTATTAGAATGTCATGAAGTAATTATATTCAAATACTGAAATAATTATATTTTAAACTAACAATTTCTTACAGATGTTTTCTAGCCCAGTTAGGACAGTATTTTCATTCCTTTCAGTAGTTTGAGGAACATATCAGGGATAAATCACATCAACATGTGTACACTCTTCATTGCCCTACCTTCAGCTTAATTGCACTATTCAGTCCCTCACACTGCAGCACCTTAATTTTTCCACTTGCTAGCCTCTCATCTACCTTTATATCTTGTAGCACATGTCTCTAAAAGAATATACTTATTTTCTCTATTTTCTAAATTCATTTTCATAACTTAGCTTTTTCATAGCCTTATGAAATCTTTAATGATCCTTTAATTTCAAAATCAATGATTTCTTCCAAATTGTGGCTACTCATCATCATTGATCAACATGTCCTCTTTGAGAACTTTATTTCCTTTGCTTCTCTGGGTACCATTCTTTCTGTGCGGTCTCTGAATAACCTCTGTTTAGTCTATGTTTTTAATGTATCTTTTCTCTTCTGACTTCCCAGGAACATTTCCCCTATTTTTTAATCACTCACCTTTACCAATTATCATTTTACACCAATCTACTTGTATATTCATATGTGTGTATTCACCAACATATGTTTATGCTCATAAATATGCATGCATATTTTCTCCATGCATATTTTCATTTGCTTCCATAGCTTAATATATAACTGTGTTCTAGCAAATCTTATGATACATGTGAAGGTCACGTTTCTCTCTCTCTTCAAATTCATGTGTTTGAGTACCTAACTAGGTTTATTATAGGACTCACACAAGTAACAAATTAAAAATATCACTTGTGAGTGCTACGCCACATAACATTACAATTTACATATGTTATCTCATTTAAATTACATGGCAAATCTGAGAATTATAGAAGTAATATCTGGTGAGGTGATACTTGAATTTGGCGTCAAAAGAGAAGAATTTCACTGATACTATGTTTTCTAATAGAGAAGCAATATTAAATTAGAATCTAGGCAAGAAGGGCTTGTAGTATGTGAAAATGGAGGCCCTTATAGTCTGCCAGTTACTTACAAAAGGAGACAGAAGACAATACAGACATTTAAACTTTATTTCTATGTACTGAGACAGGAAAATTCAAAGTAAACTGACCTTTAATATTCTTTTATTGGGTAGAGAAGGTAACATGATTAACATCCAGTGAGTACATGTTAAAATAGCCCATTTTCTCAGGCTAGAATTAGTCAGAAAGCTGCCATGTCTTAGTAGGATTTCAGGAGTTGCGGAGAGAAGTGTGGTAGCCTGATTTATTGTACATGAAACTGTTTTCATATTAGAATAATGGAGAGAGTCTTCTGTTATAATTGGATGTGGTACACAAATGCATTTCACCAAATATATTTTTATAATGTGTGAAAGTTTCACTAAGGATATCATAGTTATATCACATATACTTAGTATAGTTATCCTCTTGGCATATTAATTATGACCAAAAAATGAAATAAAGGTAAAAATCATTGACATTAAGCTGTCATTGAAATTATCATGTCTACCAAAGCAGTTTTGTGGCAAGAAAAACCTGTTGGCCTTTAATCAGAACCTAACTTTCTTTTTCTGGCATTATCTTATGGAGGCTGAGAATCTGATTTCTATTCATGGCAGTCTAAGGGCATAAGATGGAAGGGTGGGAGAGGTTTTTTTCCTATATCCATATATTAAGATCCTCAAGATGTGACTACACACAGCCTGGCAGCAAGGGAGAGCTAAATAAAAGTGCAGTAAACTACTGAAATTAAGACAACTAACTGCCAGTGAGCTAAGTCCCAAGCCTATAATATATATATAAACATGGAGCATTGTATAGAAAATTTGGACAATAGTGTTGCTTTTTCATTGTAACAAGACAAATTCTGGCTTCAAGTATACCTTCACTTTTCAATCTGTTTCGAAGTTGAATAAATGTCTTTATTATTATGATGGTAAGTAAGAGGGATTCTCGTTGTATGAAAAGGAGCAGACTACTTTAAAATATATCACATTGGCTTTCTAGCACTATTTGACATTATTGATCAGGACTTTCTAAATGCCCTGACCTTCACTTCCATGATACTAAGCTCTCCCTTTTTTCCCGTTTGTTTCTGTTTTACCTAAAGATTCCTATGTGTATGTTTGGCCCTTTATTTATTTATTTATTTATTTATTTATTTATTTATTTATTTATTTATTTATTTGAGTCTAAGATCTTATTTTATATTTTTTCAAATTTGGTTTTAAAAAATAATGTCAAATCCATTGGGTTAACTCTAAAGTTTTCTTACATATTTTGTTTCTGTTCATTCTCTTCTGCTCTTCTCTCCTTTCCTCATGCTTTTATTTTTTGTTTTTTGTTTTGTTTTTGTTTTTCGAGACAGGGTTTCCCTGTGTAGCTTTGTGCCTTTCCTGGATGTCGCTCTGTAAACCAGGCTGGCTGCCTGGTTCTACTTCCCAAGTGCTGGGATTAAAGGCGTGTGCCACCACCCGGCTTTTTTTTTTTTTCTTTTTTCTTTTGGTTTTTCCTCATGCTTCTATCCTATGTTTATCTCCTTCTTCTTCCCCCAGTATCTCCCATTTCATTTTTATGTCAAATATATTCAAATGAATAGCCTTTTCATCTTAGAATAGCCTTTTCATCTCTCCTGGACCCCCTTCTGAATTTAGGATCTGTGTCCCCACATACATCTATGAAAATGAACATTAAAGGTTTGTGTATATGAGAGAAAGTTTGATCTTAGGAGCTTTGGTTCTTCATTTTTCTCATTTTGATGATTTGTCCACTGTCTTATCCATTCTTCTGAGTACAGCAAGATATGTGTTTCTCTAAGCTCTCCGCATGCAATTCCTCTGTCCCTTTCAAACGTGTTCAAGTTCTTCATTACCTTTAAATATGTTCATCTTGCTGTTATAAATACTTAGCCTCTCTAATCTAATTCCTTCTCCACCATGACCTACCATTCTCTCATATTCCTTCTTGATCACCATGTAACAATTAACATATACCAAAAATGTAATAGTTGGCTTCAAATCCACCCTTACTATATATCCTTTACTACATAAATCTTGCATTTCTTCAATCAAGTACATGCTGTATTCTACTGTGTTAATTCTGTACTTTTTTCTATGCATAGTATCTCTCTGTTGCCAGGTTTGTTTGTTGGTTTTTAAATTCAGGGAATTCTCTTTATTTTAGACTTTGTTCTTACTTTTTTTTTTAAATCTCCCACCCTTCATTCTAACCCTTTAAATCCTCTTCCACATTGTTCTGACATGCTATTTTGTCACATCACTGCTTAAAATCCTTCAAAAGCTTTTTCTGACCTCTAGGAGTAAAATCTAGTCTTTGTGTCTCTCCATCCCAAGGGAATGAATAAAAGGACGTCATCATCTGCTTCCTGCATTCTCTCTAACAGTACATTGCACTAGTCTTCTGCATACACTTTCTGATGTACTCATTCTACACTGTGCTTTATGTCCATTTTGTGCGATTTCTTCCCTCTACCTCTGTACCTTTGTATATAAATCACTTCTTTTGCCTAGAAATCCTTCTCCATTTCTTGACTTAATTAACTTTCCCTGTACATTTGTATAGGTCTTGGTAAGTACTTATTTTGACTTAAACCATCTTTTTCCCTAACTCCTGCTGTGGCTAGGATAAAGAAAGACCTTGTTAATGTCAACAGAGCACATAATAAGGTCAAATGTGTGACAGTGTCAATAAAATTTTAAAAGCACAATTTGTCACAGCTAAAAGCAATATGGATAATCTGTCTGAGAATGCCCTAGAGTTGGCAATTACTGTACTCCATAACTGTATGAATTGTGATCAAACAGGCAGAGAAATGTTTGCAATTTCTGAAACCTGTTAGTTAAATAAAAGCTTCTCTTATTTTCACAGTTATTTTGTGAAGATGCTCATATGTATTTCATTTGTATTAATGTATTTTATATGCACTCAACCAAGAGCAGATATATATATATAATGTTTTATTAAATGCATATGAATAAAATATAGATAATATAAAATTTTCCCATGTCAAATAACAATAAGAAAAGGCACTGCTTATATTTACTGTTTTAACAAATGATTATCCGACCCCTGCATATTTGTCTTCAATGAACAAAATTTACTGAGTTCCTGTGATTATTTTAACACTTTGTTTCTCAATGGCTCTGTTAAAAGCATAAATAAACATAAATAATCATGGGAAACCATTTTGAATGTTAAAGCCATTAAAATATTTTAAAAAATGAAGAATCTGGATATTTGAATTTCTGATATTCAATTTAAGTATAATTCCACTTTTTCTGGCGTGAGGTGTAGATAAATTATATTTAGCAATGCCAGGTTGCAACATTGAAGTGTGTAGAAAGACTGTTATGTAGAACTGAATGATATTGTAAAATAAAAGGAAAAAATAGAAAAAAAATTTAAGATAGTTTTGATAATTTAGTTTGTAATTCCTAAGTTATTGTTCTCTAAAAGGCATAATTGTAACATAGATGAGGACAAATAACAGTTTTTTTCTTATATTTCTAGTAAGTATGTCTTTAAAAGTACTTCTCTAGCAGTTTTAGTTTGCAATTGGTATGTTACTAATGAGATATCTTGTAGAATTTGGTAAGCAATAAATGACACTTTTGTTGCCTTTCCTTGTTTGACTACTTCCTTAAATCATCTCCTACTTATTTTATGTAGTAGACTCTGCACTCAGCTTTTTAAAAATATTCAGCCATGTGTGTATATGTTATCTATAAACTTCTTATTAATACTGATAGCTTTATAATAATAATATATAATATAATATTGATGTTGATGTAGCCACTAATTTTGACTTTTACTACTCTTCCTGTACTTAAAAAAATACTTCTATTTCTATATTTATATTGTTGTAAGACTGATTAACCTGTTTCTTCTGAGAATGCCATCTTTACTTGTAAGGTATTAATAATATATGTCTTTAAGCTAGACTTTCTTCTGGCAAAAAGAATCCTAGCAGATGGCAAATTTTCTGCCTATTAATTTTCAACTGGGCATATACTTTGGCTTGTTCAGTACCGTCACAAGTAACTTAACAAGACTCATTCAAGAAAATACACTAATATAGCACTACACACAATATATAAACATATATACTAGCCCGTTGAGACTCTATAAAGATTTACTCAATTTTTTATTGTATAAAGGAGGGGCCTGTACTCCTCATTTAAAATTAGAATTTGAATTCCTAAGAACATATCCAGTATTTCTTTTAAGGTGATGCAAAGATTATGACACATATTTAGTTGTCTAAATGTTCATGTTAATACCTGAGCATTCCTAGAAATTGGTATAAAGTGTTCAGTTCTTTTTTGTGTATCTTGATTGCTAATGTTGTTTATAATAAAAAGTCATAATTATCATTGTACATGAAGAAATATTTACATTTCATATGCCTTTAGTGAATGTGTTACCTGCATGTACTAACTAAATATTTCTTTACTGTACCTTAACGTATAAATGAAATTCACTTTCTCTTTGTAGGTGGCCTGCATGCAGTTCATAAATGCACTTGTCACTTCTCCATATGATCTTGATTTTCGAATCCATTTGAGGAATGAATTCCTCCGTTCTGGACTAAAAGCAATGCTCCCAGTAAGTTGAATGCATCTATTCATTATGCTGCTGAACTTTTGACTTTTTTTACCTTCAAGCAAAAGTACATTTTTTTTAATAGATCACAAATTTGTCCTTTGTTATTGCCTCCAAAAAATTCCAGATGCTTTGTAAGCTTTAAGTGTGTTTTGTGTGTGTGTGTGTGTGTAAATGTATGTATGTAATGGTATTATTACTCTCACTATATAATGGATAATTCATAATTCAGTTAATGATGTGATATATAAATGATACATATTTGCAAATTTGCTTTTCATTTTAATGTTTCCTTCTTCCCTCTTTGATACTTTAGATTGATTTCATTTGTAGTCAGCTTAAGTATGCATATTGAAGCTTGATTAGTACATTCTGGACATTTTGCTAAAATACGGTATTCTTATTAGGATGCTTCAGAACTTTTCTATAGAGAAACAGTTTTATTTCTTAAATTGAATGTGAATGTCCTAATTAGAGTAATGTTAAACTATATTTGGAATAATTTTATAGTCTGTTTCTGTGATAACAGAGCACTCTCACTCTGTATATTCTAGAACACAGTATCTACCTTATATTTTATTTATTATGCATATTTTCTGAAAATATCTTTCTTTTTTAAATAATGTTTTTATTTATGCTTTGAGAATTTCATTCAGTACATTTGTATCATACTCTTTCTCGTTTCTCAACTTCTCCAAGATCTTTCCCGCCTCTCTACCCACCCAATTTCATGTTGTTTCTCTCTATATAAAACATCAAAACTGCCAGAAACATGGTTTGTGTTGGCTGACTATTCCTGAGCATGGGGCCTGCCATTGGCTGTGATGGATATATCCAGTGTTGTTTCTATGGCAAAAACTTAGTTTTCTTCTCCCAGCAGCTCTAAAACATGAACAGCTTCCTGGATGGCGGTGGATATTTTCTTTATCATACCTCTGTTGTACTTCAGATTTCAGTGTTTTCTCAGCATGTGGAAAATGGAAAACATTGTATATCTTTTCCTAATGTTTTGGAATATATTCTATAGGGATCCCCAGATATTTCTCTTGGAAAGTGAACTGAAATATGCCTAAACTTGGTTCTCCCTGTTAGCTGAGTGTGTATATATTCCCTCAAAGAATAAAAATTGTCAAAATCATATTGAGAGTGAGTTAGGAATGCCTATATTGAGAATAAGCTTCTGTGGTATTTTTTTTTTTTTTAAAATAGAATTTAGACTGACAGCCCTTTTGTACACTGGGGATCATTTCTCTACTTCTGAACATTTCTTTATTTTTGTTATTGTTGTCATCTAGTTGTCACAATTTAGTAAGGATAAATGGTCATACTTCAATATATACTAGTTGTACCATATATGTCAACTGGTACCTAATTAACACCCAAATTAAATATTTTCATGTAAAGCACTAGCATATAAAAATCAACATCTTTGTGTGGCCATTGAACCTTGAATATATTAATAAATAAGCATAAACCTTTCAAATAATTATTTTTCATTTATCCTTATTTTTTACATAGCTCAAATTAGAGGGTCTCTATTTTTTAAATATTTTCTAAAATAGAACTTAATAAATGCAATGCATTAGGCTGTTGTTATGGTTATGGCAGTGATTGTCATGTATATCAAAAATGATACCTCTAATATAATTAAATGGCAGAGGAAATAGGAAGTAGTTTATTTCAGAACCTCTTGAAGTCAACACAGTATTTTGAACAGGGCAAGTTTTAGAAGTAAAGACCAGAATCTTCATGACAAATCAATTAATTTTAGCATATTATACGAACATTTATTTTTTTTATTCCTTCTATCACTGTGGTTAAATTTTTTTGTGTCAAATAGAATGTAGATTATTTGCTTCCAATAAATTTGCTTTAGTAGTTTGTTAAAAATGAATTGATGTATATGCTATAGTGACTTTAAAATACATTTGCTTTTGAAATGACTTATATTGATTTATTTTGAAATTTCTGCACCTGCCTTTTGTTTAGGTACAAAAGTAAATCAGGTATATGAAGGAACAACATAGTAAAACTAATGTTTTCAAGCAATGGACATATTTTATATCTTTCTGAAATTTGTATTAGGATTTATAATCCTTTGATTTTATATCTAATTATGATAAAAGTGTGTTATATCTGTCATATTTATTTTTCCTGTGTAAAGTTTGTCATCAAATGTTTATTTTATCAAGAATTTATGGGTATATCTTTCAGAGTCTGACATTTGAATGGAAACTTATCAATATGAATGCATATGTCTATAGATACACATATTAATAGTGTCAGAAAATTATGAATAAAGAACACTTAGAATGCTTTATATTTATGGACATATTTTGCTAAATAAATTACAATAGTTTTCCAGTTTCTACTTTCCTTGAAAATATTCAGTTTTGCAGACACTTTTCTACATTTTAATAAAAACCTCATACCAATCAAACGGTAGTTTTGAACTCATTTTGTTTCTAAACAGGAGAATTTCTTGCTCTGAAATATATTTTTCGATGTTTTGGATGTTCTGGTTGTAACTGCCTTCTGTGCTCATATGGTAATATGGGCCATAAGCATTACATAGTTCTGTATTCCAATAAATGTCTTTCCATTGAAAGTGGAGTGTTAGCTCAAAATTAAGTTCTTAATATAGAAGAAACTAAGTGGAAATAATTTTATTTTTTATATGCTTTATATGAGATTATTTATACATATTTAAAATATATTTTAAAGCTGTTATAAAATTTTACTTTTATATTTACAAATGTGTACAGAATTTGGTAAATTCTTAAGTATGGAGATTCAAAAAAAGGACATCAAAAAGTGCTTTGTTTTGTCTTTTGCTTCAGTAATAGCTATTACATCCCTATTTATCATTGTTATTCTTGAATAAAAATAGAAACAAAAATAGAAAGAAGAAATGCATTCTTTTTTTTTTCTTTTCCTAATTGGAAGTACACCTTGCTTACATTTCCTTTTAGAGTTCAAGCTCAGCTCTGAACATCATAATCCCAGTTTGGTTATCACCCTTAAGTATCCACTGTTGTGATTATCGATTTGAATTTTCAAAGCTGCAACTTAATGGACAAATATTAAAAGATATTCCAGGTGATATATATTAAGCCCAACAATCTCTGGTGTGGCATGCTTTCAAACTTTTGAAATATTATATATTATTATGTTATTATTATTATTTGTTGTAGTAGTATTTGAAAAATTATCACAGGTTTGTAATGCATGTGCGTATGATGTATTACAAAAACAAATCTTTGATGCCCAAGTTGCTATTTTGTGATTAGGATAAGTGAAAATGAAGATTGGCATTGTGTCTAGCTATATCTAGACACAATAAAAAAAACTTAAAACCTTTTAGCTTTAAAAATCACAAAATATCATTCATAATAAATTTGTTTATGCAATTTTTCCAGGCCATTCTTGGGACTGTTGTGCTTGAATATATCTTTGCATTTGTTCTTCATTAGCACAATTGATCTATATTTGCTTCATTTTCTTGGTGCAAGAGGTACATGTGAATGTTCTAACTGCATGAGTTCTTTTGTGATTTCTGATGAGGATATTTAGTCAAAATGTTAAACTTGAATTCGAATTTTCAGCTATTAGTGGTTTTTTTTTGTTGTTGTTGTTACAGAAGTGATTGTTAATATTTTTAATGTGAATAATCAAGACTCAGGGCATGAAGAGAAAACGTAAAGAATGGTATGAGGTTCTTTTATTTTGAAATAGAAAACTTTAGCTACATTTACTTTCTTTTAGGAAATCAACTTCCTGGGTCAATATTTGAAATTGCATCTCTGTAAAAATGAATAATATTTTTCTGTCCCTGATTAGCAATGTGCTATTTTTAAATTGTCATTCATTTGCTGAAATTTATTTTTTATATTAGGGTCTTAAAGAAAAAGAGAATGATGAGCTTGATATTCAGTTGAGAGTGTTTGAAGAGAATAAAGAAGATGACCTAACTGAATTATCCCACCGTCTCAATGACATTCGAGCTGAAATGGAATATCCTTTGACAAACTAAAAACTAATTTTTACCTATGTTGAAAAGTGGGAATTGAGGATAATTTTTAATATTCTTATTAGAGTTCCTGTTTGTGAATGAAGTTGTAACTGCTTATTTTTATTAGTACTTCACCATGATGCTATGGTGATATCCATTCATGTAGTAGAATATTTTAAGGTGTGTTACTTCTGTTCCTGTTGCATTTGTTTATCTCTGTGAAGCTGTGTTACTGTGCCTGTCTAATACACCTGATGGTCCAATAAAGAACTGGCTAATAGCAAGGCAGGAGAAAGGATAGGCAGGGCTGGCAAGCAGGGAGTATATATAGCAGGAAAATACTGGGAGGACCCCAGGGACCAGCCACCCAGCTATACAGTGAGCCAAGGAGTAAGAGTAAGATTTTACAGAAGTTAGAGAATGGGAAAAGCCCAGAGGCAAAGGATAGATGGTTAATTTAAGGAAAGCTGGCTAGAAACTAAGCCAAGCTAAGGCTGGGCATTCATAAGTAATAATAAGTCTCCGTGTGTGATTTATTTGGGAGCTGGTTGGTGGGCCCCCAAAAAGAGTAAAAATTATTAACAATACATCCGAGTTGAGAAATTGCTACTCTGCTTTGAAGATATACTCCGACTACTGAATTCTGCATAATGGCTTGCTGTGTTAGAGATACACTTTGCTCAGTGGTCTTGAATAAACAAGAGCCTATGAGCCTAAGGCAGTCTACCTTACCAATAAGAATGAGGAAAAGTTCTTTGAGTTCATATCTGACAATAGCTAAGAGACATTCTGTATTTATTAAATGCCACTCCACTTACAGATACAGATCGCTGGAAATGTATGTCTTATTTCTCATCAGATATTTATGTTCCTTAATGATAGCAAAACTGTTAGATAAAATAGTAGCTGTCTATAACAAATCAGTATTGTAAAAGTTTCTAAATCAAATGCAGCAGCATATAATCTTCCTGTGCCAACTATCTGATGTGAAATTGTTTGAGATATAAGTTATGATTGTCATAGTTCTGCCATTAGTTCCCCACCCATTTACAATTCATTCTTTCGGGTTCTATGAAATAGGAAAACACTTGGGAATCAAAGTAACCCCTGATCTGTGCTTTTCTACCTGTAATATTTTCTTATCTTTCTTAGTCAAGTATTCTAAACAAACTGGAACAATATTTCCCTCCCTGAAATCCCTAGGTACTTTATTTGCCTTATATTTTTTATGTATGCTTCTCCTCTCTTTACAGTCAATAGAAATGTTATCATACGAAATAATTTCTAGTAATTTCTCATTCCAATTTAGTAAAAACAGTCTGCAGCTGCATCACTAATATAAATTATTTTTTATCAATAAACGTACTTTGTATTCATCTATGTAATCAATCATTTGATCTGTTCTGTAGCCATTTAAGGTCCTTATGATATTTTAACTCAGCACTCTCATGTGGTATTTAAAATATTCCATTGTCTATTTAATTCTACTGCCCATTTCATGTTGTTTTAAGATGTTAGATTACATCTTGTTTTTTACCTTTATTTTATGTGGACTTTCAAGATCCTCAGTGCATATAATGGTAGTTCACTTTTGAAGTTACTTATGGATTATTAACAGCATCTATACCACTAGTTTTTATATCCTAAAAAGGGTCGTAATAGCCATGGAATTTTCAAAAGATCAATTATGAACACAATTTTAGGCCTATTGCATTTGGATATCTAAAATAAACCTAGTTTTGTGATCTTTTGACAGCTGAATACTTGTTTGGCATCTCTTTTATCTGAGAATAAAAATAGATAGCAGTGATTCTATTGGAACCACAGACAGATCAAGACAAAACCTCTGTCACCAATGGATTGCTATTTGAATGGCCCTAGGTATTATATGATGTTGACAGTATAATGGGTGACTGATTAATACATGTGTTCATAACCAAGTGGCCTTGGAAATTTTCTTTAGGCTTGTTTCTCTACTTACAGGATTATTATTATTATTAGTATTAATATTATTATTTGCTATAGATGTTTAAATGGTATATCATGAAGTTGAAGCCTTATTATCAATAATAGAAACCAAGTGATAAATGTTTAACTTTAAAAATAAGGCTTCTTTAGTCATAAATGCACTATTCAAGAATCTTTGATGTTTTCCTTTACTCACTTTCTACTGATATGAATGAAGTCTACCATCTTCTCTATAATATGCTGAAAGACACTGCAGCTGAAAGTTACTTATTATCCATTTTGCAGCACTTTCTGCTTATCAGAAATGACTATTATATCAGGTAAGGTTCATATCTGATATTACTACATGTATAATTTGAATTGGATATTAAAAGAAAGTTAACAAGGTAGTTGGGCTAAGGAAATATATGCATTATATGTACATAAAATATAAAGGTTTTACTACTTTAGTCAACATTTTAAAAAAGAATTCATTTATTTTAATTGGGCCAGAAAAGATAGCTGCATATAACTATGGTTCTCACAAGCAACCAGAATATAAGAAGAAATTAACCTGTCATATATTATTGATTTTTGTAATAAATTTTTCTGCTTGATGCTGGTAACCCAATGAAAACATTGGACCTACTGGAATTTTTAAAATCTCCCTATTTTAACAAGTGAGGTTTTATCATTTCTTTTTATAATGTTTAGTAAATGTGTGATCTGTAAATGTAGGAGAATATTATTGTTTTTATTTTAGTTTTTGTTCAATGAAACAATTTTTTCATATCAGTGAATATGATGATAACCTATAGAATTAAGTTTTAAAATAGATGATATTGTATATATCTAAAAACTGGAAACATATATAACAATAGGTTTTTGAGTGACTAAAATTATCTATAGGCTCTATGTTCATGACCATGGGCTTATGTTAATGACAGTTCAAGATTCTCTTAGTTCCTTAACCCTTTTATATGTATGCAATTATGACATACTAGGTTCTTTGATTCTCAACACTTGCTTGAAAAATAGAAAAAGAAAGGGCTTTCAGAATGGTAGTTATATTAGCAACAAAAATTGACAGTTCTAAATTACCATATAGAACTATTTTTTTTTCTTCAGGCTACTATAGTAATTGGATGTTGAGGAGACACAAGCATGTTGAGACTACTAATGTATGTTTTTAAAAACCACTATAAATAATAATACATAATGTGGGTCATGATTATTCAGTTACCTGGGACATTATTTGGTAGAAGTTATCTATTTCTTTCTTTTTTTTTTTCTTTTCTTTTCTTTTTTTTTTTTTTTTTTTTGAGACAGGGTTTCTTCTCTGTGTAGCTTTGCGCCTTTCCTGGATCTCGCTCTGTAGACCAGGCTGGCCTTGAATTCACAGAGATCTGCCTGGCTCTGCCTCCCGAGTGCTGGGATTAAAGGCATGCGCCACCACCGCCCGGCTTTCTATTTCTTAATGTTAATAAATGATAATTAATTCCCTCGTGGCATCTTTTAAAAAATTGTGTGTTTCTCTATGGTTTGTTTGGGTTATCATCATGAGTAGGTTTTGTGTGTGTGTGTGTGTGTGTGTGTGTGTGTGTGTGTGTGTGTGTGTGTGTGTGTGTTTGTGTGTGTGTATACAGTATTTGTTTAAGTGAGTTTCTGTGACCACAGGTCAAATTGGCTGCTGTGCTCTGTTAGTCTCTGCCTTTTTTTTTTTTGTTTGTTTGTTTTGTTTTGTTTTTTGAGACAGGGTTTCTCTGTGTAGTTTTGCTGCTTGTCATGGATCTCACTCTGTAGACCAGGCTGGCCTCAAACTCACAGAGATCCACCTGGCTCTGCCTCCCGAGTGCTGGGATTAAAGGTGTACCCCACAGCTGCCTGGCCACTTTCTGCCCAATTTATCTTGAAACAGTGTCTGTCACTGAAACTGTGGACTGTTGTTAAGTTCCTGTGGTCCTTCTGTAATAGCCCAGACAGTTCTGGGGTTTCAGATATACACCACCATGCCTGCCTTTTTACCTGGGTTCTGGGCATTTGAACTCGGGTCCTCCTTGCACAACTAGTGCTTTTATCACACTGAGCTGTCTCTGCAGTCCATACCATCTTTTCATCTTAAGGGTACTCCTGCGAGGTAGAGGTGGGTGACGCGTGCTTTCATTCCACATGTTGACTTGGTAACATCCCCTCAAAGAGAAGAGTTGTGTTTTTCTTAGTTATCCAAAGAGTGTTTCACCTCATTGAGGTTAAGGACTAATATTATTCATCCCCAGATCTGATGATGATTTTTAAAAGCCCTAGCCGTGCATTAAGTATTTCTTTTCATTCTTAATCTTAGGAATAGTCACATGATTAAACACACAGAATAGTAATCAGAATTTGTTTTCATTTGTTTTGGAGTTTTTAGTAGGTTGATAAGCTATATTTAGTGGTGCTTATATCATAAATTGTCTGAAGTAATACTTTTCTGTAATACTGTTGAATTTATTAACCCATGACAATTTGTCTTTTGTAAATTTTTATGCAAAATGTCCCATATTTTTACTTTTCCAGTCAGTGGTCATTTTAAGGCCAGAATTACCTTGAGAGATTACAGAATAATGATGTGTTTTCAAACTTTTGACACATCACAAAAAATTGCAGCTATAGCTATGCATATTAAGTATATATGGCTTTATAAAGTAGATGTTCTTAGAAATATGTTACGTACATAGGTCTTTGCATTAGTCTGTAACAGAAATGACTCAGCCATGCTTTGTAACTGGTGTGACTGTCCTGAATAAATGCTCTGCACTGCATTCCAGACATTGCTTGCCACCTAATGCCAAGAAATTCATCCTTTCTTGAAAATGAGAACTTGTGGCTGTCTAGAGTCATTTCTGTGCTCATAGATATAGGACTAGGGAGTTATTTATTTTCATTATCTTTAGAAACAATACCTTAAATAAATAGATAGGGTTCATAAGTATTTTTGAACACAAACATGAATCCCTGCAAACTAGAATATTAAGTCAGTACATATTTTCAGTCGATTACATCACACTCAATTTGGTCTCCTAATGTTCAGAACATCTTTAAGCCTTATTCATATTTTTTCTAAAGGAGTGTAAATGTTAGTGGAATTATTTTCTTAGTGGTGCTAGAAAAAAATTGAGTTATTTTAGCATTCTGAATCGCTCCATAAGAAAATTGATTGATGCAAGTAGAAAAGTATTCTCAAATACTTTGTCTCCTTTTTTCAGGCCACAGTATTATAAAATAATTGAGGAATGCGTTTCACAGATAGTGCTGCACTGCAGTGGCATGGACCCGGACTTCAAGTACAGGCAAAGATTAGACATTGATTTCACACACCTGATAGGTATGGATTACATTCTTCACTGCCATTTATGGTTCATACCTTCTGTATATTGAGCACTTTTAAGGGGTGGGACTCTCACTGAACTTCTATTAATATCTGGTAAATCGTTGTTGTGGCTGCTCAACTGTTATAACTTTTAGTTTTGAAGATCATATGAATTCTTCTTATCGGTTCAGATATAGTAATCTTTTTGATAAGTTTCAGCACTATCTAGTCAGTTGACATACTCCGCAAAAATCCATGTTTTTTTTTTTTTTTTTTTTTTTTTTTTTTTTTTTTTTAAATAGGGGAATACCTTGCTTTTTAGAAGCATGGCTGTAGTATCCTTTAATTCAGTTCAGTTGTGGGAATTCTGTGTGTAGTGGAGTCTCAGTATTATAGACATGTTACTACTGGCTCTCAAATTTGAGAAAAGAAATATCATGGTAAGGAAATACTTATATACTTAAAGAATGCCAGCTAAAGAAACTTTTTTAGCAGTCTGATCAGTGATGGTGAACTTTGCTTTTGTGATATGCTATGCTCTATGGCTCTGCAGTAGGGATTTGTCTTTATAGCTAATCAAAACTACCATTGCCCAAGTTGAAGCATGAAGTTGCTTGTTTTTAATGAAAAAAGGTTACTGAATATCATCTTTATAATAATATTCATTCCATGGTAGAGGACAGACTCACAAAGAAGTCCAAGATTGAACATTATTTCTCATATATTATTTTCCATTTCTAAAGGGAATCCATACTTACTGTAGGCAATTGAGAGATTTCTGTAAATGACAAATATCAGCTACATCAAGATCACTCCCTTTTTAATAAGTATGTATATTATAGTGTAGATTAATTTCCCTTTAATGATAGTTCATGTTAGAATTTCAGAAATATATACTGTCAGCCATAATTAGATGTAGATTCCATCTCATATATTTCTAATCATTTTTTGCTTCATTTGAGTAGATGCTTGTGTAAACAAGGCAAAAGTTGAAGAAAGTGAACAAAAAGCAATGGAATTTTCAAAGAAGGTAAGACTGCCAAAATAGTAGTCTTGGTTTTTAAATAAATGTTTTAACCATAATATATAATTATTTAACCATAATCATATTTGTTTCTTTATATGACACTTTATAACTTGTCCTTTTGATTTTGTAGTACTTTTCCTAATAAGATAGTTACTTTTTCGTTCTCATCAACATAATTCATTAGGTAAGAAAAACACTAGCTTTATTATATTTAATGATAAATGAAATAAAATTAGGTAGCTCAAAAGGTACTTAGTTAAAATCAAACAAACCAAACAAATCCTTCATTGCTTTCCTTCAGCATTCACTTATACTACACAACTCCATAGAGAACTAGGAGAATTTTAGTTTCCCCTTAAAGCTATGATGAAATTTGGTGGTTAGAATGCTTTTCTAGCATGAACAAAAAGCTTATTGGTATTGATAACAGTCTAATTTTGGAATCCATTCTTTTTTTTGTCCCCTCATTTCTCTTTCTTTAGACTTCTTGGAATTTTGTAATTGCCATTTGTTAAATGATGATGTTACTTTGTGTAAGCTTGTTGGAACTTAAAATTCTTCTTTTTTCTGTGCTTTTAAGTGGCTTTGAATGAGTACAATATTTATATTATATTTTCATTTAGACACAAGATGGCCCTTTTCTTATTTGATAAAAGCCTACATACTATTTTATTAATGTTTAATAAAATTATCAAATTATCAAGCATTCCTCCTCCTCCCTTTTTACCCTCCTTCTTTCTTCTTTGCCTCTCCCTGTTAATGGATAGCACAGTACCTCTCTCTTATTGGTTGCAGAGAGTATTGAAGCAAAAGTCAGAAAAAATTTTCCAGTGTTCAGCCATCTGACAGCAAGACAAAGCATTTACACATTGCTTACACATTACTTGAGCATTTACATATTGCTTGCATATTGATAGAGCATTTACATATTGCTCAAAGGTAAGTTTGAGGTTAGACCATAACTTCCATTATTCTGGAAATTATGGAGTTAATTCAGGGCATTTGAAGAAATCTTTTTGTTCTTTCATGTACTAGAATAGATTTTAAGAGGTTGAGTGACACACAATCAAATTGTGTGAAACTCATTTTTATTGTTAAAAGATCATGTTTTTGACTAATAGGCCTTTATATTTATTGTGCTTTCCTTTTAAATAGCATGCCTTAAATTTCCATTGAATGTCATAGGCTCTCCTTAAATTTGACTACATACTGTAAAATTGGAGCACATTATGATGATCTGTCTTTGTAGTTTTCTCTAATTATATATGGTGTTCTGAAATCTTACACAAGTACAGTGATAATCATCAGTGGGAAACCCATAGAAGCTACTTACCTGGCTCATGGGAACTAACAGAATCTGAACCTTCATGGGACTGACCCAGGCCCTCTGCACATATTTCACAGTTGTGTAGCTTGGTCTATATGTGGGACTCTAGGTAGTGAGAACAGGGGCTGTCCCCGGTGCTCTAAATGACTCTTGGGAACCTAATCTTCATGCTGGATTGTCTTGCCTAGCCTGAATACAGGGGTAGGTGCTTGGTCTTATGGCAATTTGATATAGCATGCTTTGCTTAAGCCCTTGGGAGGCCTGCTCCTTTCTGAGAGATTATGGAGGAGGAGTGGATTGAGGAGGAAAAGAGGAGGGTGGATTGAGAGGGGATGGAGCTGTAGAAGGGAGTAGGGGGAGGGAATGGGAGGAGAAGAGAAAGGGGAAGCTGCAGTTGGGATATAAAATAAATGAATAAGTTAATAAAATATCACCAACAATGTTAGTTGCCAATATTTAGAATGGATATATGGCTTTACCTTAGACATTACCTATATGCATTCTCTTCTGAGTTATCTTTAAATGCAGTGTAAAGTACTTTTGAATTTTACTTGGTCTTTAAGAGTTTTGATATTGTACATGTTTTGATAATATTCACCCCTACTGCCAGCTTTCACAAAATGCTAGACAGTGATTATAATATCCAATCTTAGCTTTTCCACTAATTCACTGTTACTCTAAACAAGCCACTTATCACCATGGACTGTACTCCCTTCATCATTAAAAGGAGAGCATTAAATTAGGAACTTAAAAAAAGACCTCTTCTTTATTTAGGTGTGTATCATTTATTTATTTATTATTATTTCTTTAGGTATGTATCATTCCTATTTGTGTTTACAGGTAGCCTAGTGTTAAATTAAAAGCAGAAAAAATGGGTGCTTGTGCAGATGGCTTATTTGAAAAGCACTTTGAGACACTAACTTTGAGAGAAGAGTTACGATTATAGATTCTGGGAAATCATATTGATTGAATAAGCACATGTTGAAGGAATTCTTGTTTGCTTTGTTTTGATTTTGAAGAAAGAGTCTCATTGTGTCCTCCTTCTTGGCCTAGAACTCACAATGTAGTCCAGGCTGCCCTTGAACTTACAATGACCCTCCTGTTTTTGTGTCCTGAGTGTTGGGATTATAGATGTGTATTACTGTGCTTGCCCAAGAGCCCCATATTCTCAGTGAAGTACAAAGACAATACCATTTAAAAATCCTTCACCTCGTGTATTTGATTTAGTATTGGGATTTAGTTATATTATAATAGATTTTTATCAGCCTTTATAAGGCATTTTTCAAGTAGTGAGACAGAGGTGAATAAAAGCATAACTACTATAGTGTTTCGAGGTTTTGCGTGTGTGTGTGTGTGTGTGTGTGTGTGTGTATGCATGTATTCATGCATTCTTGTGTGTGTGTGTGTGTGTGTGTGTGTGTGTGTGTGTGTGTGTGTGTGTGTATACATACTGGCATGTTTCTGCCCTTTTGGAGAGGTCAGAGAACAACCTTCAAGATTCAATTCTCTCCTGTTGTCTTATAGGGTTCAAGGATCAAACTAAGGTTGTTATGCCTTTGTGCAAGCACTTCTTCCCTCTGAAAAATATTTACTTCCCTCATTTTCCTCTCTTGTGTTATTTAGAGGGTTTTTTTTAACCATCTGATAGACAGTAGAATTTCAGCGTATATCATTGTACTGTCATATTTTGTTAAGCACTGCCTTTTGTATGATAAGCAATGATGATTATAGCAGAAATAACCCCCCGGTCCAATTCCCATTTGTGTTAATGTACTTCCGGTCATTGTAAAAATGCATTTGTTTTGAAGATTGAATATTATTAAGAAGTTGTAAATGTATTGCATATTTTATATTTCACTTTCTAATTAAACTTAAAATATGTGGCAAGTCATTAATAACCAATATTAATTCTACTATTGAATTTTCTATAACAATAAACTTTCCATTACATGTGAAAAGAGACTTGATAGTCCATCCATTTTTTCCATTTTTTAAAGAGAATTTTCTCTGTGTGGATGCTTAGTTTTCAAGAGAATAATTAAGAACTTTATCCCTCTGAATGAGCTGTGAACTCATCAAAGCAAAAGCCATGCTACATATTTACTACATAGTATTGTTTGAATCATTCTCAAATCTGTATTAGTAACTGTACATTTATGATGGTGGTCATTGCAGTTTGATGAAGAATTCACAGCTCGACAGGAAGCTCAAGCGGAGCTTCAGAAAAGAGATGAAAAAATCAAAGAACTGGAAACAGAAATCCAGCATCTTAGAACCCAGGTAATGAAACAAAATGTAGACTTTAGTCACAATGACTTTGGGGGTAGAAAATTATCTTGTTAGTCAGAAGGAAAAATGTGATCAGAAACAGACTTTTTGGTAGCTATTGTCAGTTTCATATTTTAGTTGAAATAAGTAGAGATCTGATTTTTTCCAGGACAGTAAATCATTTTAATGTTTGGAAATAAATAAGGCTTCATTTGCTCAAACTGCCCTGAATATTTTTAACAGAATACATTATTGAAGCCAAACTGTTTATGACATGAAATTTTCATGATGATTTGAAAAATTGTGTGCATAGTATTTCCTTTCAAAAAGAATATAGAAATGCTCATGAATTTTAATTATCCAAAAGATTTCTTGAGATCTTTAAATCTAGACTATCTTCAATTCAAAACCTATACACTTTATTTCTGCCTACAATGCCTTGCACAGAAAAAACTCTTAATTAGATGTCTATACCTTAAAATTAAGTATACTCTCAACACATTTTGTGGCTTAAATGAATAATATGAAATTGAGAGAATGCCTTTAAATAGATATTGTCGAGTAGGTAGTCTATTTACTATGTCTGTCCCCAGTAATATACTGAGAAATTACTTCCAAAGTCACTGGTAAGCTGCAAAGTCCTTATGGTGGTAACCTTTTTCTACCCATAGCCCATATCATTTTTGTCCACTATTTATGTCTTTGCTTCTTCTTTCAGTATTATCCCACTTCCCATTCTTCATGTCTGAGAACCTGATATCTCTTATTTTCCCATTCTCCAAATGTGAGATATCTCTGTGTTCTCTCTGCCCTTGGCATTTTTGTCTGCTTTGATTTTCCTTGCACAAATATCACACTCAATTTCATATGTTCATGTATCACCTTTTAGTAGATGTCAAGACATTTGAGTCTATTTGTATTGAAATCAAACTCAATATTTTTCATCTGTTCCCTTTCCTTAAACCAGCTTAGCCTTCATTTTGACTTTTTTTACAATTTACCACTTTTTAAATACTGAAGTTTGATTTGTTTCTTGACCTGTTTCTGACAAATGAAGTTAGTTTTTTTTTAAATTATTCCAATGACTTTTCCACCTCTTCATTAAAACCCCAGTTCCTTCAGGTATACTCTCATTACATCTTTCCTGAACTATTGAGGTTGTCCCCGAATTTTTCTTCCTGCCTATAGTCTTTTCCTCCTCAAGTTCATCCTTTTGTGTCAATTAATCCTCACAAAACCTTGTTCCAATTATTATAACTGAAGGACTTATTGTATACAGTGGTTGCCTGCTGTATTTGGGATTAAACAAAACTTCCTTTCTAGAAATACTAAAAGCCTTCTGGCATGGGCTGCCTTATGCTTACTTCCTTTGCAGCATACACTCTGACCACTGTCCTAGCTACCACAACCTCTATTGCTGTTAAATTTCCCTTCTTTTGATCATATCTGTAGTGTCATATCTGGCTCCATACAGTCTGCCAGTTTTCCCGCAAATTACTTACAGATACTTTAATGATTTTTCATGAAGAAAATATTTTGTAGTCCACTAAATTGGATAAACATGAAATTCTCAGAGATTCACAAGACACATATTGAATACCCTGAGACATCCTACAACAAGAAAACCTCTCTTAACTCATACGCTTCCCTGACTCATTTGACCACAATATCTTTTGTTGTTTTCATTTTTACTTTTGAGATAGAGTCTCATTTTGTAGCCCTGGTACTCTATGTGAAGTCCAGGCTGGCTTTGAACTCACAGAAAGTCATCTGTGTCTGCTTCCCTGTGCTGGGATTAAAGGTGTGCACCACCATCCCTGGCTGGCTACAGTATCTTCTATGTTTGTTTTGTGTCTTTTAGAAAAGCCATCTCTTGCTAACAAATATCTACTCATAGATGCTGGTCAACCCCCACCCCCTCTTTCTTTCCTACATGTTATTCTTTTTCTTTTCTTTTTTTAATCTTTTGAGACACACTGTCACAGCATGCCCCGGTAAGCTGTATCAACTACATTACTACAATGTAGTGCTGTCTTGGATTAATCACTGCAAACATCTTTTTTAGTGTTGAGGATCAAACTTAGGGCTTCCGACATGTAAGGCGAGCAGTTCAGTAAATAAGCTTTCATTTACCCTCAGCTTTCATTTCAGTTTTTGCACTCAATTTCCTCATTTATAAACATTGAGGTAAAGATGTCATTAAATGTCCTATCTACATTCAAGTTTATAATGAACGCAAATAGAAGCAATAGATGTAAAATGTTGATATGCTTATATTACTATGCAAATGGATCCTACTTAGTATTACTCACAAGTATTTGAAGGCAACTAAATTATTGGTACTGTGAAATACTCTCTATAAGACTAATTGACACCCAAGGGATTTGAATCCATGACCTTGTCATACTTTAATCAAACTTCAGTAAGCTAGGCTAACAGTTTCTAAGCCACATGCCATACTTCTTTGGCTATATTTATAATGAAAGATATTAATTCATTATATTAGAGTTTTTCATAAAAATCTTAAAAACTGTAAACTTTCCTGTCATTAATATATTAGCAGAAATAGTCATTGTCTGTAGTATACTGTGTATATCAGAAGTCTTTATTTACAGGTACTGATAAAATGTATAACCTTGAAAATTTAGAAAGATAGAAACAGTCTTAAACCCGGAACATCTAACAGATGAGTATACTTTGTGTTATATGTTCTTATAAGCATTTAAACTTCTATCTGTTTCAGGGAGCTCCATCTTCAATTCCAGGCCCACCTCCACCACCTCCACTGCCAGGTGCTGGACCATGCCCACCACCTCCTCCTCCTCCACCACCACCACCTCCACTTCCTGGAGTAGTTCCTCCTCCACCACCTCCCTTACTTGGATTGCCTGGTGTTCCACCACCACCACCACCACCTTTGTTTGGAGGACCTCCTCCACCACCACCCCCTGGAGGAATTCTTCCTCCCCTACCTGTACCAATTGAGCTACCATATGGAATGAAGCAGAAAAAAGTATATAGGCCAGAAGTATCCATGAAAAGAATCAACTGGTCCAAGGTAAGACTATAACTTGAGGGACCTTTTTGCTTTTTCCATGCCTGACAATGTGTGAGAATTGCATTGCTGTGAGTCAGTATCATTTGATTTTTTTGCTGGCTTTATTGCTTTCCTCTGTGGCTTTAGCATGCTATGTTTCTCTTTAAATGTATGACCTAGATAACTGGAAACTTACAAAAACGTTGAAATTATGGTAAAGACAAAGGAAAATCAAGTTGAAAAATATATGACATGTATAATGAAATGAAAATAATTTCATACTTTTTATCACTATTAATATTTCTTGTTAGGATCCTGTTGTCTTTGATAATTGTTTTCATTGTAAACTTTAAAAAAAGTGTAATATAATTGCAGGGAGAGAGAGCCCAGACAGACAGAAGAAGAGGGTTTAGGGAAGGATGACTGGGAGTAATGTACATAATGAACATGTATTAAAACTTCACAATAGAATCAAATACTTGGCACATCAAATATGAAAAAAATACTAGGAACAAGGATAATGTATGCAAGTAGAATAGGAATATACTATTATATTATTTTGAGGGTCTTTTCAGTAGACACTTTCAAATGCATTTTACTGTATGAACTATTGCTTTTGTGTAGCTTTTCTGTATGCTTATGAGTGTAATTTTATATATTTGAAATAGATTAAGTGGATGATGAACAAAAAAGAAAGCCAGTCTTTGAAAAATTAAGCAGTAAGTAACAACATGCTAACTTATCATTGTTATTTTGTCTTAGATTGAGCCTAAAGAATTGTCTGAAAACTGTTTCTGGCTAAAAGTAAAAGAAGAAAAGTTTGAGAATCCAGATCTGTTTGCGAAATTGGCCTTGACATTTGCTTCCCAGATAAAAGGTACCTTTTATTTTTACGTATTATTTATTCCTGTGCCTCATGTATTGGAATTTATGTCTCTGCTAAAACATTCTAAGGATGTGTGAATGTATTATTTTCTCACAGTAAGTAGAGTCAAACATGAATATATTCACATACTAGCTATGCTTTACTCTGTAACCATATGAAAATTTTATTTGAATTTTGTTTTGCATAAATATTATTATTTAACTTAATGTATAAGCTTTATCTTTATTATTTAATATGTGTGCTATACCACATAAAATTGCTATTTTGCTGAGTAATAGAAGATTAATTTTTATATATACCATGTATCACAAAAATTGCATCATGGAATACTAATGTCTCTGCATTATATGGATGATGCCACATTTTCTGTCTTTTTAAATGTGTATCATTTATCAACCTTATCTCCCATGAAATCTCATAGGTTTTGTTATGAGCATATGTTCTGGGTTAATATACAGTTCTGATCCTCAGCAAATATAATTGTAGATTTGACAAAAGCATATTTCTTTATAATTATATTCTTAATATTTTAAGTATTTTACACATGCCATTCAGGTAATATGTAAGTCTCACAGTTAGTCATTGTGGTCAATGGAGTTTTTATATTTTATTTGAACATACTGATTTTAGTAGTTCAGTTAAATATATAAATTACACTTTGTAAATCAGTCTTTAAAACTAGTAAATGGAAATATTCTATCCTTTCTTCAAAATCAGTGCTTTACCATTCACCTGATTTGTCACTTTGTCAATTTGGACAGATAGAATGGAGGAGGAGGAGGGGTGGGAGGGAGGGATGGGGGATAGAGCTGTGGTGATTAGAATGTTCTGAAGAATTTTGACATTGAAAAAAGTGTTAGTAGTTTTACTTTTTTTCTATTTGTTATAGTTCTCTTCACATTTAAAATTTCTTCATTGAATTGACCTATTATAATTACCTTTTAGTACTAAATATTCTTGCTTAAAATTAAGTACCCATGTAGTTTGTTTGTTTTGAGACAACAAGAAAGATGATGACAGGAAGGAGAAATATAGTTTACTCTTCAATTCTAGAGTCAGATCTTCTTGAGAGAAAACAATTATTACTGATTTTTTATATTATGATCTAGACCACCTATGTGTTGAGAAACATTTTCAAAAACATTTTCCTTTGGTAATCCTTCCTGTTTTTAGTAATATACATTGATATTATTCTGTATTTGTCAACTGTGTTCTTTTTACATATTGTATATAATTATGTGTTGTGGGTCTGTGTTAGTACATTTAAACATTCCCCTAGCTTCAGACACATTGATTTACTGCTACAAAATTTAAGTTGCAAATGTGTTTCTGTATGTGCTTTTGTGTGGGATGGGCTGTAGTATAAATTCAGGAAATGTATTCTACATTTAATAATTTGAAATGTATCACAAATCTGCCTTCTAATATTCATCAATTTAAAGTGTTGTCAAGAATGCATATGAATTCATGTTGAGCATCCCTAATCTAAGTCATCGGTGTTTCAAAATCTGAAACTTTGGCCATCAGTAGTGTACAATAATATACAAATAAGAAACCCCATACCTAAAGTCATGAGATTGGTTTTTGTGAAAACACAGTCTAACAAGAGTGTAGAGGGAAGAGAAAAGGGGAGAAGACAGGTATGGGAAGGAAAATGGCCAATGTGTATTATATAACTGTATGAAAACAGTCTTATGATACTCAGTAATATACACAAGGAATATTTCCCAATTAAATAACAGAGATGCAGTAATAATTATTGGTTTGAACTATCTTCAGGCTGTGTGTGTGTGTGTGTGTATGTGTGTGTATGTGTGTGTGTATGGAACATAAGCAGAGTTCTTGTTTAGACTCCTGTTCTATGCTAAAAATGATGTCTTTCATACATGAAAATATTCTATAATCTGATAACAAAATTCAAAAGCTGAAACACTTCTGATATTAGGTATTTTAGATAATTGGATACTCTGTGTCTTTTTCTCTACAACTTTTGCCCATATTATAGATGAAAATGTTAAATGTTTAGGAATCCAATTTTTGCTTTTGATCAGGTAGTGAGATAGAAAATTACTCTGAAGCCTAGGCCAGTCTGTAGCTCAAGATGTCCTTAAATCATGGCAATCCTTTTTCAGCCTCCAGTGTGGTGAAGTTTTAAGCATGAGATAACCATAGTTGGTTACGTTTTCTGTTTTGCAGGATGTTGAACAGTTTTTTTTTTCTGATCACAGGCAGTATTTAACTATTTTTTTCTGTGATTCTTCTTGCTTTGATTTTCTCTGTTGAATATTTGCTGTTTTGCGTTGTGATGTTTGTGTTGAATCCTATACTAAACAGATTTTAGAAAATTGCAGAGTTAGCTTAGTCCATACAAATGATTAAGTAAACCTGGAGTTTGTATTTTACAAATGAAGAACGTAAGACTAGAGACAGAAGGGTGAATCATAAGGGAGATTGGGGTGTATATTCAACATAATATATATATAAGTTTTTTTTTTAAGTGAGCCCATTACAATAGTGAGTTGTTAATGGTAGTGCAAGGTGCAACCTACTTGAAAAAGGCTATGGAAACAGAGTCACATCTACTTTCATCAATTGTTGTACATACCACTTCCTCTGAAGGAATTACTTCATCCATAATGTGAATAGACTAATGTTTAGCTAGGTAGGAAAATGAGATAAGGTTATATATATATCTAAGTAGCTGACATACACACTGTTTGGTATCTAACAGACACTTAATAGATGTTCATTTGTTTTTATCTTTTGCTTTTCTGCTATTGAGTATGAGTGTGTTGTGTTTTAGTTACTGACAATTACTACGCATGTTTGTTTGGAAAGAGAATTTCTTTTTCTTCCTTGTGGTACTTAATCAGTTACAAAAGAAGGAATTCCAAATGCTCCTGCCAAAACGTAATCAAACCAGCGTGAAGCCAAAGCAAATTATTCAAATCATGTCCTCACTGCTCTGAATGCTCCATCTCCATTCCCTTCAAGTTTAATTCTTGAAATTTCTATGTGGCATTACTCTAGTTTTGCTATTTTTTAATAATTAAGTACATATAAGAAAAGTGGAACCATTTGGTGGTATTGATTTATTTCTGAAGGGACATTTCAGGACCAATGAAATATCCAAGAACATTCTGTCTCTGCATGCAATAGGCCGAACAAATTTTAGTAACTCAACACATGCTTAAATTAACACTCTTAAGAATTGATTGTCCTTCTTGTACCAGTTGAAGTTCTTGACACTCACCGTGCCTTGATTCATAATTTGGTCAATAGATGGCAGGCTTAGCAAGAAATCAGCAGGAGGTTCTGGCTCCAGGAAACTTAAGCTGTCCTGCCCTGGCTCTCATAGCTTTAGGGCACCACTTTCTTCTCTGTTCTGCTGCTCATTGCAGCTCAATCAGCACCATTCTCGAATGAGCCACCAAGCTCTTGTTTCTAAGACCTATTTTCAAGGCTGTTAGACTCAGTGTTCCAAAACCTTTTGAGAACTACCCCCTACTGCAAGGCTGTTGGAGAGCTCATGTCTCCATTCTCACTAAATGCACTATAAAACATTACTAGTCAATGTTGTCAAGTGAATGTTTAAAAATTTAAAGTAGCTTCGAATTGCTAAATAGAAAGGAGCTTTAAAATGTACCAGTTTTAATATCTATAATATTTAGATTTGTAAATATTTAATGTGTGAAAAGTTACATGAAATTATACTTTCTGTATGAATTACTTTTTCTTAGAGTTTTAGAGAAAGTTACTTTTAACATTCTACTACAAAGCAGTTTACTTCTATTTTAGGGGTGGGTGTATCTTTCATTTCATTTAACTAGTTCGTAAAATACCTAGTATGTGCATTGGGGAAGAATTGATTAATACCTTCTCCCTGCACCAGAGAACTCATAATCTGTTGACTGAGGTTGGAAGATTACTGTATTTAGTCAAATTATGGTAAATGTTAGAATAGACATTTTCTTCAAAAGCTGAGAGAGGATATGATATATCTAATTTAGAATAAAAAATGAAGAACCCAGAGTTGGTGGTATGAGCATTTCAGTAGTTTCAATAGGGAAAGATGCAAGCAAGTTTTTCTAGTTAGGGAACAGCATTAGAAAAGCATGAGCAATTTAGATAGCTCAAACTTAACTGAATTGGTTGAGCAAAGAACTACCAGTGAATTGTGTAACACCCAGGGTCAGAAGGGATTCATATGAGTAGCAAGCCTTTTTATGTTAAACATGGGTACAAAAACAGAAACCAGGAGGCTTGTTGTAATTAGGCATTTGCCTTGTTTGAGCATTCTGTGATCAAAACGAGTCTTTGTGACTGGTAGAAATTCAGCTGGTTCTTTCAAAAACTCTATATACTAAATAAGGTTGAAGTGGAAGTTTAGAGGCAGCTCCAAGCCTATGGTCTCCTATTAACTTAACAGTAGGGAGAGGAGAAGCACATACTGTGCTGAAAGCACATGCAGCAGCTGTTGGCTTTGGAGTGAGGAGACTTGGTGAGAACTTCAGAGTGAAGAACTTTGGTTTGCTCTTTTCATATTAATGTGAGCAGAGTCACTGGACATAAACCTTGTCTCTAGGTCTAAACTTTTGTTCAACTTAAGAGAATGTGATGAAATATAGAAATGAAAAAAATTACTTTATAAAGAATTTTTGTCAGAATTAGATAGAAATTCTTAGTCTTTCCCACTTTGCATTGTTAATAACTAATAGAATAGGTCAAATACAAGCTATGAATTGTATTTATCATTACTTTTCCTAGAGGATGAGTCTTCTGGCGTCAGAGCCATTTTTATTCCTTCCTTGGCATTTTCAGTGGGAATCTTAATTCCTAACCCCTCTTCTTTGTATTAGATACTAAACCATGATGATTCGCCCTAGGTTTTTTTAGTGCATATGCAAGTTGTGATGATTTATAGTTTGTATGATGGATCTTAGTAATTGTGAATAAATATTGCTAGACTAACACGATGCAATGATACCCTC